CTTTTGTAACGAGAAACACGTATTAATGATATCATAAAGTTTGTCATAAAACAATGTACAGGCAGTCTCAACATCCAAGTTCTGAGAAAGAAATGACCAGTCTAGGTTTAAAAATATATCATACATTAGAGGAAAGTTAGCTTTTCTAAAATTAAAATTATTTTCAAAGTTGACGGGAAAGTCGTGTTTCTTCCCTGTAGAATGGGGGAACTGAAACGAGATAGAAATTGCGGGATGGTGTTTATCTTCTTGAACCAGCGCATCTAGAGCACATTCAACTATACAATATTTATTGTTATGTAGGACCAAATCTAAAATTCGGTTATTTACATTTCTAATAAAATTACTTTGTGAAACATTCATGCAATGCATAAAATTGTTAAGTAACGTTACACACTGATTTTCTGTACCAGTGTCCAAGAACTCAGAATAAGTGGGTATATTAAAATCCCCCAAAATACATATATTCCTACCATACAAACACTCCAGTGACATTATAAAATCAAAAAGATTTTCAAGTATATCTGCATTAACAGGTGGGGGCACATAAATCACCACAAATAAAATAATCAAAAGTTGCCTTTATTGCTAATATGTCGATCTGAGGGAGCAACTCGTTTCTATTAATTTTTATTATGGACGACCTATTACGCTGATGGACAGCCAGCAAAACCCCACCACCCCTGATCGAGCAACAACTTCATTACTAAAAACAGAGTCATTTAGCCATGTTTCACTCAAAGCAATTATATCGAAGTCACACCCAGCTGTATTATTGAATATTTCGGCGGTTTTAGTGAGTAAACCGCGCGTATTTTGATAATACAGCGATACATGTCTGTTGTTTTTAGTGGGCCCCATGTGGGAGGAATGGTCAGGCTGCAAAATATCTATCGAGTGAGATGCAGAAAATAGTGACAATTGCTATTGGCCAAGAATATTAGCTTTAAGTTTGGCACAAGCATTCGCATAAACAGTACAATTAGAAATATCCCAAGCCGCATGATTTATATTTACAGGGTTTCCACGATTACCATTATTGAACTTGATACAATTTGAACATTTTAGAACCTGGGACTGGCAGCTATTAACAGTATGATCCTGACCACAACGCGGGCAGCATTGTTCGTTAGAACAATTAGTTGCCGAATGATTAAATTCATTACATTTAGCACCGGCTTACCTGAACGGCATCATAATACATGGGTCATACCCAACAAAAACATTGCCTACCCCTATAAGGCGGTCATAGGTGTCGCGGTCAACCTGTAGTACCGCCTGGTAGCGATCTGCATTTTTCTCAGTTTTGCTCACTCTAATAACCTCACAGAAAGAATTATTTAAAAATATGTCCTTGTTCAGCTGTTTTAAGATTGACCATAAGTCACTTGCATCATAGGTATCTGTGAATCCAACAATCCGCACTCGTGGATTAATTTCTTTAAGTTCTCTGATTTCGTAGGAGTTCGCTAGTTGTTCTTCAGCCAGTTGTTTGAATTTTTGGATGTCCTCGGAGGTTTTGCAGCCGATAAGGACGCCTCCATTGCTCAACTGTTTAACCCTTGATAATTCCAGTTTAGACTGTACGGGATCGATATTTTCAGTCACTGCTTGCCTTGTTACCATATTAGACTGCGACTGATCCTTAGGTTTAATGAGAACAGCTGGGAGCGTGTTATTCTTCAGTGCATATAATAAGCAAAGTCTTGCACAATGTACCATTGAGAGTTCAATAGTATATTACAATCCGAGACGGAAAATGCTTCATCGCTGGTCAAGTGGTTATATAGTTTATCGAGACGCTTTGCGTCGGGATAAACTAAACCTCGAGAAAACAATGAAGTTTTTCGTCGAGGTTTGTATATTATTTCATTTTCAACCCTCAATTTCTGAGGCAAAAAATTTCATAATACGAAATAATAGTGTGAATTGGCCTTAGAAAAGAAAAAAACCAGCTTTAAATTTTTTTTTTTTATCAATTTCATCAATTTTGACAAAAAAACAAGCAGGGAAATCGGGACGGAAACGCATTTTTCCATCCGTGGCAGGCATATACATCGCCGACTTGAAAAAATGTAAAAGTACAGAAATGTGACACTTTCAAGATTTTAAAAAGTCTAATATCAACATTACATATATGGTTGAAAATAAATAAGGTACCTGACCCAAATAAGGCCATGTACCTAATAAGGCCTTATTGCTTAATAATGAATCCCATCTTCAAAAATTACAATATTATTGAAAAAGATATCTATTATGCAAATCAAAAATTATTGCGAAGATTCCTAGCAACTCGTTATATGTCAAAAAATGGCTAACTACAGATTTCATATGTCACGTTATAACTTTGAAGGTGAAACTTAATTAGTTTATACACATGTTCATAAAGAGAATGTAGCGAACGTAATTTTTATATGGACATTTATGTATTGAGGAAGCTACAGAGTAAGTACAGAATAATATCTTTGCTAGATTTCTAGATACAGACTTTTTTTATCAATGTAATATGTTCCTAATAAGGCCACATGAAAAACTTTCAATTGGCCTCACATCACAGTGTTTTTTTAAAAGAATGTGTCATACTATTACTTAAGTGATGTGTCTTAGAGCGCCTGGAGTTTAATAAAGCAAGAAAAGCTGCAATTCATTTGTCCTTATTGTGTGTAGACCTATTTGGATCATTATCCCAGGACTTAAAATTATTGTTTTTTTAGAATGCAGCAAACGTTAAAGTTCTATTTTGAGTACTTTTTGTCAAAATAGTATATTGTTGTATTAGGAGTAGAAGTTTTACTTTTTTGTGCTGAAGCAGTAGGTTTGCGAGCCGAACGTAGTGAGGCTTGCAATACTGCTGAAGCACAAAAAAATGCTTCTACTCCGTATGCAACACGCTATTTTTTCTCCAAACGAATGGGGTAAGCTCAGGGGTAACTGATTGGTTAAGCGGCAGTAAAAGTACGAGCGGCACTAAAAGTACTTTTGCTGCCGCTCCAGCGGCACTAAAAGTACTTCTACTGCCGCTGCGGTTGCCTAGCAGCATAGAAATTAAATTTCTACCACCTCGACAGGTGTTAACCCGCTGACTTTGCCTACCAGCATAAAAATTAAATTTCTAACATCTTGACAGGTGCTGACAAAGTGACGTTTTTTTGACGTTTGGAGAAAAAATATTATTTTTATGAATGATTCTATTTATTTTAAACATTTTTTATTAGTGGCCTTATTAGAAGCATAGTGATACAAATAAGGCCAATGGTGAGGGTCTTTGTTTTACGCAAAAACTACCACTTATATGTAAAAATAAATAAATTAGGGTTAATATTCAAGTAATCGAAGCGAAACACTTCACATAATATAAGCTCGTGATTTTGGTTGGGTTTGGTGGATGGTGCTCGGAAAAAAAATAAATAGCTATTTATGTACCAAGGGGATTATGTTATATTATAATCTTGAAATCCCCGTGGTGCATACAATGCTTTATTTTCTACTCAACACAATGTTTTTTCATCAATTTGTTATTAACAAAATCAGTTAAACTTGTGTGACAGAATATTGTTTTGTATTTTGACATGTACCTGTACCTGTGACCTGTAGCTGTACCTGCGACCTGTACATAGAAACGAAATAAATTAACGGTGGTGGTCCTGTGGGTTAACGCGCTGGACTACATGGGAAACATTGATGGTAGACCGGGTTCGAATCCTGGCTAGACCGAAAATTATTTTCGGTCAGACATTTAGTGGCTGCCTAGGGTAAAGTGCAAATTAATAGAACAACAACAACAAAAACACCTTAAGGTATTATAAGCGGGCGTTATAGATCATAACGCCCGCAAAAGCGGGCGTTATGGATCAGGTTGTTATAGGTGTGTTAACGTATTTCGTTTCCTAGGTATTATGGATCTATAATAGTAAAGTAGAAAATAAACTTCTTAACATGGCCTTATTTGGGGCAGGTACCTTACATATTTTTATTTCTAACCATATTATATAAAATGTTGACATTACTGCCTTTTTTTAAAAATTTGAAAATGTCACATTTCTGTCTTTTCATTTTCCTGCTCTTAGACTGTGAGATAGGGGCTGTTTAGTGGAGTAATTTTTTTTTGTCTGGCATTTTGAGGGCTGAATGTGGCTTCTAAGCTGATGAGAATATAGGTGATATCAATGCCGGCCTCACGTTCGAAAATTAGCAGAAGAAACAAATTGATTTACATGAAGAATTTTTTTTTAATGATCTCGAATTTTCTAGCATTTAAATAAAAGATTGACATTGATAAATAATTCACCCATGAAAAATACCAGAGGCTTTTCAATAGCTGAAAAAATGGGGATGGGTGTCAACTTCCAAGAGAAAAGAAAAGAACCTTCCGCATTTACTTTTTGTCTGGCAATCGAGAGAATGAAAGGTTTTGTTGTGAAAATAACGCTGAAAAATCGCCAGACGGTAATCACAGTTCGAAATCGAATTTTCCGGCGGAACATTCTGTGGACATTTCGAACAGGAGGCAGGCATTAAAGCCACTTATATTCTCATCAGCTAACTAGTCACATTCATCCCTCAAAATGCCAGACAAAAAAAAATTACTCCACTAAACAGGCCCTATCTCAGGGTCTATCCATTTCCCGCACCTGGACGGGAATTTTTTTCCTTCCTCATTTCCCGTCCTACGACGGAAAATGGAGCAGGAAAAAATTTCCCGTCCTCATTTCCCGACTTCATTTGGTTCAATTCGGTTGTCACGAACTATGATCCAGTTATAATCGAAATTATTTGACTATTAGTCCAGTTAACTGTGTTCCGCATAGATTTTTCTTTTTCTCACTTCGTCTAGTGAAAATAATAGCCTTAGTTTTGTAGCGGGTAGGATATACATTCGTTTGGAGGTCCCTTGGTATGTTATAGAATGGAAGGTTTACATGTTAACCAACCAACCTTATTCATAATAAATATTCTTTGAAAATCATATTATTTGCTAAACAGTGTCCGTTTTTTTTCAGTTTATCTACAGGATTGCACATGGGCAGGCAAAACATCAAACAAGTAGCCCAAAAGAGATACCAAGAAATCAGCTTATTTATCACCTCTCTATTCTTGTGCGCTCAGGAAATTGCCCATTCTGATTTAGTCTACACCTTTTTCCATCCTTTATTGAGAGACCAGCAAGAGGATGATATCGCACGACAAATTTTCGGTATTACTTTCGTATAATTTTTTTTGAAAACAATTTCAAATCCAAATTTCTGTAGACAAACAAACAGACGCTGAAGAGTCTGGCAGATTGAAGGGACAATTGAAGCTTTCGCTTGTATACACAAAAGGAGTGTTCACTGTAATGGTACAACATGCACGAGGTTTGCCCAAATTGAACGGTCAAGAACCTTCGACTTATGTCAAAGTTTACTTACAACCAGACGCGCACAAAAGTACTAAAAGAAAAACTAAAGTGGTTAAAAAAAATTGTCATCCTAGTTTTATGGAAATGGTAAGTTGTGTACCTCTTTGTCGGACCTGTTTTGTAATTTCTATTTTCTTATAGCTTGAATACAGAATGGCACTAGACTTAATCAAAACTAGAATGTTGAAAGCCACTCTTTGGAACTACGATCCTCTGCAAGAAAATCAATTTATGGGTGGTGTGGAATTGGATTTGGCTACTTTAGATTTGTCAAATAATATAACTGAATGGTATCCCTTGGTAAATTTGAGTAGATAGTAGAAAAGTTACTTTGGGATCACTTTATTATTCAATTAAAAAAATAGCTTTTATTTATACCAAAAATTATTAATTTCTTGGGCTATATTAAATTTATGTAAAAACTGAGATTAATCCGTGTATGCATATTTGAAGACAATTTTGCAGCTAACATACTGGTTGAAATTTTACACATTCCCAAATAAAATATCTGCCAAAATATTTGAAAAAAAAATATTAATTTTGATTGTAAAAAGAATAGACATTGCATGCCAAAGTATTGTATTATTAGGTTGATAGATTTTATAGTATTTTTCTAATTTTTCTATTGAAATATTTTATTATTGAGATGTCATGGTTTTGCTGGGGATGGTTTATTTTAAATATTCGCATTAATGGATATTATTAAATGTAACCCATACAAAAAGATGCCACTGAAATGTTTCACTCAGTCCTTTTTTTTAACTTTATATTGTCTAAATACTTTTGGCATATAATTTGTTCAAAAATGCATCTCATTGCTTTATTTTTCTACTAAAAATATATTAATTTAATGTTAAAACTATTCACATCTGATCTGATTATTGTAAAACGGAATCTGTTGCATGGAGGACCTCAATGCCCAGAGTCCAGAGTGTAAGAAGACTTTATAGCTGAAAAAAATAAATAGTTGATAGTTTTTGTCTGATAGATTCTGAAAAAAAAATTAACTTAGATTTGTTCCAACTTTACCATATAGACAATACAGGGTGGGCCAATGGAAAGTTTCCACCCCAATTTTTTGAATTAGAAATAAAAATCTAGAAAAACGCTCGAACCCATCGATTTTTGATACGAGGGGGAAGTATTTTTCAATTTTTTGCATCCACGTAGCTTTGAACCCCTAGCTGTAGGGAGAACAACCCTCCAAATTTGACTATGGGAGAGGGGTCATGTCATATATCCTTTTCAAGGTCTCATCGAGTTCTTTATGATCCTAGAACTTCGCCTCAACGAAATGACAGCTGGTCAAAATCTTGGAAATAGACTATTGTTTTAGTAGGAGTAAAAGCGAGACTTACCTAACTCAATAAAAATACCTACTGATTAAAGTTGTTTTACTATTATTATTAATTATAACAATAAAACAACTTTAATTAGTAGGTATTTTTACTAAGGCAGGTAAGCATCGCTTCTACTTCTACTAAAACAATAGTCTATTTCCAAGATTTTATTTTATTTTATTTTATTTATTTACGGGTAACCCCCATTAATAGTTATAATATACAACAAAAATGGTTATGACTCTAGATTGTTATGAATTAAATCTAAAAATATGTATCACTTCAGAGTTTCATTTACATACTAAAAAGTAATCCTATACAAATGATTTCGAAATTGAGACAAAGTTAAACCAAATATTTCTATGTGATAATAATTAATTAACTTACAATATCTATCTATTGGTGAGTTTTGACCATAGTTAGTACGATGATAGGGAATGTTAAAAGACACAAAATCGCCTCTTCTATTTCTAGTCGGTGTGTCTATATTTATGCATAGCAGGAGATCAGCAGAATCAATCATACCATTGACCAACTTGCAAACAAAAATCATTCCAGCAGAGTTTCTCCGGTTAGAAAGGGTTTTCACTTTCAGCTGATTTTCAATGGCAGCATAATCATGATCAACAATCACAAGTCCTAATCTGAATGCACAATGTCTTAGAAATTTGTGCTGAATCTGTTCAATAGTTGCTTTGTGAACTGCATGATATGGTGACCATACTACTGAAGCATATTCCAGCTTCGAACGCACCAAAGAACAATAGACACTCCTAGCAGTTTCAAGTGAAAAGTTTTTACAGTGTCTTAAAACAAAACCCAATAGTTTAGACGAACTCACTGTGAGATTGTGAATGTGACCTACAAAACTCAAACTTTCATCAAATAATACCCCCAAATCTTTAACCTTGGAGACATAAGTCAGAGTTTCGCCATTTAATGTATAGGAAGTGTCAAATTTTTTCTTGCCTTTGAAAAAACTAATAAAACAACATTTGTTGACATTCAGATAAAGCTTGTTGTCTGTGCACCAGCCCGTCAGCCTGTCAAGATCGTCCTGCAAAAGCCGTTGATCATCCATACAATTTATGATTCTATATGCTTTAAAATCATCTGCAAATGCCAGCCCGTCACTGTTCTCAAAACACTCAAATATGCTGTTAACAAAAAGATCAAAAAGCAAAGGAGAACAGTGGCCCCCTTGGGGAACTCCTGAGGTGACATTAATAGTATCTGATTGAAAAGTACCAATTTTGACCATCTGCAGGTGACCCGACAGAAAACTACTAGCCCACTTAACTGATTTGATACCAAAGCCCATATTGAAAAACTTCTTTAAGAGTATCTGGTGGTCTACCCGATCAAAAGCTTTAGAAAAATCTGTATAAATCGCATCAACCTGATTGAAATTTTCTAAAGCAGAGATTATTTTATTTTGATATAGAAGCAAGTTGGTTGTGGTAGACCGGCCAGAACAAAAACCATGCTGATTACTATTTATCAGACTTCGACTAATCCACTTAAGCTGATCTCCCATTAAACTGTCAAATAGCTTTGCTATGGATGACTGTATACACACACTTCCGTAGTTGGTGACATTGTTTATTTCTCCACTCTTATATATAGGTACAATAAAACTGTGTTTCCATTTGTCCGGGTAGAAACAAGAATCTAAGGATCTCTTGAACAGGACATGCAATGGCTTGACTAATAAACATATAGACTTTTTTAGGATTATATTAGGTATTCCATCCGGACCTTTTGTATTTTTATTTGGGAGATTACATATCTTATTAAAAATATCTTCTATGGAAACATGAGAAAAATTGAAGCACTCGGAACTCACGTCAGACGTTTCAGAAACTATCCCCTCCAAATCAAGATTGCTAGGAGTGTAAACTGTCTCAAAATATTGTTTAAACAAGTCCACAATATCTTGGCCATTTTCCGCCAAACGACCATTATAAAACATTGATTGAGGAAGGGTGTGCGAACTTTTTAAGTTCCTTATGTATGTCCAGAAATATTTTGGATTAGCTTTAAATTCATTATCAACATTATTTAGGCATTGAGCCCAACATATTTCTCGAACCCTCTTACACTCCGAACGCAACCCTGAAAACCACACATAATCAAGAGGAGATTTAGAATTATTATAAGCTTTATGAGCAATCTTTTTCTGGAACGTAAGACTTCGAAGCTCTTGTGAAAACCATTTTGGAAATGTGCTTGTGTGATATTTTTTTAAAGGAACATATAGAGCAATACCCATCTCGAGAATTTCATAAAAAGAATCCAAAGCTAAATTAATCTCATTATGTGAAAGGCATTGCTCCCAGTTTATACTAGCTAGAAAATTGTTCAATCCCAGAAAATCAGCGTTACGGAAATCATGGTAGAGATCATGAAGCTGAAGGCCTTTACTTCCCTGACTTTTACCCATAATTAAACAGCATTCGTAGCTAACATGATGTAAACTATTATCAAAAATAATATCCCTAGCTAAACTAACTACAACGTTGCTATCATTAGAAAACATCAAATCTAGGAACACATTTCTATGATTAGGAATATTAATACATTGAAAAAATTGCAAGAAACCAAAAGATTGAGCAACCTGAATAGCCGCGGATGCAGCTGGACAGTCAACTCTCACTCCAAATCCATCATTCGACCAACTTGCCTTAGGTAGATTGTAGTCACCAAAAATATACATTTTTTGAGATTTGCAAGACTCAAGAACATGCTCCACAGACTCACAGTGCATGTTGTAGTAAATATTTGGCATGTTGGGTGGTATGTATACCCCAGCAATCACAAATTTGTTCCCATGGAAGCTACATGCGACAAACAGCTGTTCTACATTGTGCTGGTTTATGTAAACTCTCATAGAGCTGATTGATTTCCTAATGTATATAAGTATACCACCGCCGCTAGATTTTTGACTAGTAAGATGAGTCCAAGCGGAATAAATTAAAATCACAGCACTCTAGCTCACTGTCCATGAAGTTATCACATAAATTACTTTCGACTAGTACAATAATATCATATGAAGAACTATTTACTGCTAATTTCAGAAGCTCAATCCTTGTACGAAGGCCACTGACATTTTGATAGTATACCATTAATGGGGAGGTAGTTAGTTTTCCTGATTGCTTGCCTTTTTAGCGACTACCACTGGCATACCTTTAATATATCTGATGACTAGGTCTTCCCCTACATCCTTTCTTCTTGCAAGTTCTTCACGAGCTTCTTTGTAGGCAGCCTGCTGCATTTTTGTACAATCATTTGCTATTTTGTAAGCACTGGACGCCAGTTTCTGTTTGCATCGAATGGCCTTTCTAATGATATCAGTATTATTGCATATTAACTTCAACGGTCTAGGCTTTCCATCAGCCCTTTTCTGACCCACACGGATGACTTTGCTAATAGCAGCAATTTCATCCTGGAAGCCAAGAGCAGTGAAGACTTCTTTTGCTATTTTCATGTCATACTCAATTCTGCTTTGAAGAATATTCTCAGCAGATTCTTGGGTACCAAATACCATTAAATTATTCGCTCTCATTGCGCGCTCACGTCCTTCTAACAAAATCTCTTCAATATTAGCAGCTGGTTTAGTTTTCAGATTTTGTATTTCAATTTTGAGAGTATCCACCTCTTTTTGCAGCTCTTTAACCCTCCTTATAACCATGGGGCTGACTTAAATGCATCACGACACTCCGGACAGAGGAACATAAGTGTCCTCTTCAGAAGCACCACAGCTCTAACTTCCGAGGCAGAAAGCTCCGTGCAACCTTCTGTTAGGTGGAAAACAACTCTGCAGCAATCGCAAAAAATTTGCTTTTCCTCCGATTTAACCGTCAGGTTACACTTTGTACAGTTTAAGACAGGCATGGTTAACCTCTCTTTTTAGCTCTAGAAAATAACTCGACACTGACTATGACTCGGTAGAGAATTCGATATTTATTGAACGTATGCCACAACCACCACAGCAAACAGAGAGTTCAGCAATAATTGTTACTACCAATATGCCCTTTTTGCCAAAATAAAATGCAAACCAAAAATAAACAACCGTGAGATCATAACCTCAAAAATCTACTACTACTAAGATTTCGACAAGCTGTCATTTCGTTACGGATGAAAATGATGAGGCAAAATTCTGGGATCATTAAGAACTCAAAGAGACCTCTAGAAGAACGGTTGACACGACCGCCCTCACCTATTCAAATTTGGAGGGTTGTTTTCCCTCCAGCTAGAGGGACTAAAGCTACGGCGATAAAAAAAAAACTGAAAAATACTTCCCTCTCGAATCAAAAATCGACGGGTCCGAGCGTTTTTCCAGATCTGTATTTCTAATCCAAAAGATCCAGGTGGAAAGTTTCCATTGGCCCACCCTGTATAATATACTAAATAAGTACTAAAGTCTATTCGTTTTGAACATAGGCTGAATTAAAACAAACAGGTTACAGGATATTGCTGTTTTAGGGCCATTCCAATTTTTGGGTTTTTTGTTTAATTCTCTCATTCACAATCATTCAATATGTATAATTTGTATTATCGTTATTTTATTATATTGTTATATTCATATAAATCTTAATAATATAATCTAGTAAAGACTAAAGAGTTTTTCATTGCCAGCTCC